TGACCACGGGCGGCCGCTTCATGAGCAGCAGGCGCGGGGCGGCGTCCAGGAAGGCCCGGCGCACCCAGGCGGGCATGGTGTGCGTGCGCGGGGAGCGGTGATGCACGTTGAGCACGAAGACCGTGACGATGATGGACAGGGTGACGAAGATCATGGTGAAGAGCAGGTACTCGCCGATGAGCGGGATGACCAGCGAGGTGGACGGGATGATCTCGGTGATGAGCAGCAGGAAGACGGTGAGCGAGAGCAGCACAGAGATGCAGAGCGTGACCTTCTCGCCGCAGTCGGACGGCAGGTAGAAGACGAGCACAGTGAGGCCGGAGATGAGCAGGCAGGGCACGATGAGGTTGACCGTGTAGAAGAGAGGCAGGCGCCGGATGACGAAGGCGTAGGTGATGTCGGGGTACACCTCGGCGCAGCACGCGTACTTCCTGGTGTTGTAGGTGCCCACGGCGTCCACGATGACCCACTCGCCGCTCTCCCAGAAGTCCAGCTGGTCCACGCGGCTGTGCATGCTCACCAGGTCGATCTTGGCCTTGTCGTAGGTCCAGGACCCGAACTTCATGGTGCAGTTCTGCTGGTCGAAGGGGAAGAAGGTGACGTCGATGCTGCAGGAACTCTTGTAGATGGCGGGGGGCGTCCACTGCACCCGCCCGTCGTGGAAGAGGTGGGCCTTGGTCAGGTGGGTGACGGCGAAGTCCCCGTCCGCACTGGGCAGGAAGGGAGAGGGCGGGTGAGGCGCACGGCCGCGCAGCCCCCACCCGCGTTCCCGCTCCCGATGAGCGAAGGGAGGGAGGCGGCCTCGCCTGGGACGGCACTGGGCAGAGCCGGGCTGGTGGCCCTGGGCATGGCCCTCGCCCGCCTGCCTCCAGCTGGTCGCCCCTACACTGGGGATGACACGCTGAGCCTGACGCACAAGCTTGCTGGTGACGATGGCGATTATTTGGGGGGTTGGGGCTGGGACTGGACCCAGTGTCCCCAGCCTCCTCCCGGGTACCCTGCACCTCTGGGCCCTGAGGGTAGGTGGTGCCTGGTCCCTCTCAGTCCGGGGCTACAAGCTGTCAGCACCAGGAAGGGCGGGCAGCCTGGAGGGGCCTCACTAGGCTGTCGGGGTAACGGGAGTGTCCCGCATTCAGGCCCAGGGCAGAGGGATGGCTCATCGGAGGGTCTCAGCCACCAAGCCTGGTGGGATTTGTGTTCAGGCGGGGTGGGGAGGAGGCCCTGGGCCGAGCACTGCTCGGTAGGCTCTTCCCGGGATAATAGCCACCCACCTGGCCGTCCACACCACACTGAGGCCACGGACACGGAGGAGGCCCCGGGCACCTGTGGTCACCCCAGAGCTGGACCAACCTGGGGATGGGGCCCATCCAGCCACCGCCCTGTCCCCAGCGGGGGTGCCGGCAACACCGAGCACTCGGCACCATCTCCCTGGTGACCCCCGTCAGCGGCTCAGAGGCAGAAGGACCCCCTTCCTGCACAGGTGTGGACTCCAGGCCCACTTGGAGGCCAAGACCGGGCGGCCACCCAAGCAAGAGGTGACAGGGCTGGGTGTGAACTCAAGCCATCCGTTGCCGGGGCCCACCTCTGGCCACTGACCCCGCCGCCTGTCCCTCAGCCTCAGGGGTTGGCGCCCTGTCCCAGGCCCTCCTCCCAGTGGGCAGAGTGCCCGGCCTGCAGCCCGAGGCTTCCCAGACGCTGCTGTCCCCTCAACGTCCCCACGAGGACTCCCACAGGAGGGCTGTGCTGCCCTGGCACAGTGGGCCAGCAGTGGGGACTCAGGGACACCTGCAAGCGGCCATGAGCTCTCGCCTGCTCCTGGAGTCGGCGGCCACAGCTGGAAGCTCCTGGTCCCGAGTCTGGGCCCCAGGAGGCTGTGACCTGGGCTGTGGCTGTGTCACTCCCTCAGCCTCAGTTTTCCCCACGAGGCCCAGGCCATCCACCCTGACCGTGGGTGGCGCCCACAGACAGACGGGGGCAGTGGCCGTCCCAGGCCCCTCGGGGCAGCTCTGCGGCTCAGGCTCTGGAATGCTCACGCTGATGGGTATCCCTCCTGGGCCCCGCGGAACCCCATGGAACCCCATGGAACCCCACAGAGCCTCACAGAACCCCATGGAGCCCCACAGAACCCCACAGAGCCTCACAGAACCCCACAGAGCCTCGCAGAACCCCATGGAGCCCCATGGAACCCCACGCTTGTTCCCCGGGTCGAAGGTCCTCGGGCGGGGGATGGGGAGCTGAGCGGGGACCCCAGGAAGGCCGGGTGGTGGGAGGACTCAGGGCTCGTGGTTCAGAGCAGAGCGCCTGCCTGGCGGGGGGAGCAGGCCTGCCGCCCTCCCGCTCCCCGAGCCAACCCCGAATGCGTCCGTGAGCACCACCTCGAGCCTCACGTGCGGCCGCTGCCCGCTGCCCTGACCACTGCCATTACTGGCGTCAATTAAGCTGGAAGAGGGGCCCACTCGCCGTTGATCAGACAGCGCGGTTTGTAGGTCAGGGCCAGGGCCGGGGGCCTGGTGGGCGGTGGGGGTGGGGCGGGGA